ATTGGTGTGTGTTATCTGGCTTCATGGACAGATAGAGCTGGGTGTCATCTGCATAGCAGTGAAAATGTATGCTATGTCTTCTAATGATACTGCCTAAGGGAAGCATGTATAATGTAAACAGAATTGGTCCTAGCACTGAACCCTGTGGAACTCCATAATTAACCTCAGTGTGTGAAGAGGACTCTCCATTTACATGCACAAACTGGAGTCTATTAGATAGATATGATACAAACCACTGCAGCAGTACCTGTAATACCTACAGCATGTTCTAATCGCTCTAATAGGATATTATGGTCGACAGTATCGAACGCTGCACTGAGGTCTAGCAGGACAAGCACAGAGATGAGTCCACTGTCAGAGGCCATAAGAAGATCATTTGTAACCTTCACTAAAGCTGTTTCTGTGCTGTGATGAGCTCTGAAACCTGACTGAAACTCTTCAAATAAACCATTCCTCTGCAGATGATCTGTTAGCTGTTTGACAACTACTCTTTCAAGATATCTCTTTACAAAAGCCATATTAAACGCAGACTACTTTAGACCCGGAAGTAGGATTCCTCACGTCATCACTTAACAATCGGATATCAATCATTCTTATTTTACCTTTCAAAATAATGACCCTTTCAAATTGACCATATATCGGTGTGCGTTTTCAATGGCTTCAGAAAGCTATAAAATGGAAAATTGCTGTTTCCACAGAATAATTACTATCTATATTGACATTATTCCATCCCACAGTGATACCAGGTTAATCTCAAGTCACTATGATTTTGCCTTTCAAAATAAGAGCCCTTTCAAATGACACATACGGGAAATAATCTTTCAATGAATTCTGATTTCTCTAAAAAGACAAATTCTTGTTTCCACAGGAGAATTTCAATCTGGGTCAAGAGTATGCAAACCCACAATGATACCATATCAATATCAAGTCAGTCTGATTTTGCCTTCCAAATTAATGGCTTGTTGAAATTGCCCATTTAAGACCTCTTTTAACAATTTCAGAATGCTCTAAAAATGAAAATTGCTGTTTCCACAGGATAATTTTACTTTAGATCAACAGTATACAACCCCACAGTGACACCATATCAATATCAAGTCAGTCTGATTTTGCCTTTTTAAATTAATGGCCTGTTGAATTTACCCATTTAAGACCTAACTTTCAGTGGTTTCAGAATGCTCTAAAAAGGAAATTTTCTGTTTCCACAGGGTAATTCCACTTTAGATCAACAGTGTCCAACCCCACAGAGATACCATATCAATATCAAATCAGTCTGATTTTGCCTTCCAAAATAAAACACTTTTCAAATTCACCATATACAACCTACTCTTGGAGCGAATTCAAAATGCTCTAAAATGGAAAATTTCTATTTTCACAGCATAATTTCACTTTAGATCAACAGTATACAACCCCACAGTGACACCATATCAATATCAAATCAGTCTGATTTTGACGTCCAAAATAAAAGCCGTTTCAAATTGCCCATATACAACCTACTCTTTTAACGATTTCAAAATGCTCTAAAAATGCAAATTGCTGTTTCCACGGGATAATTTCACTCAAGATCGACAGTGTACACTATCACGGGGATATCAAGTCAATTTCGAGTTGCCTTGATTTTGCCTTTTAAAGTAATGGCCCGTTGAAATTGCCCATGTATGACCCACTCTTTCACTGACTTCAGAATCCCATTAAAAGCAAAGTTGCTGTTTCCACAAGATCATTTCACTCTACATTGACAGTATACAACCCCACAGTTTTATCATGTCAATATCGTAATTATAATTGTTTATTTGGTACTTTTAATAATTAAACGCGGATGCTGTTAACAGGACAATTACTGTTTCCACTAAGTAACTGGAGTTCATGCAAACCATACACAACCTCTACAGTGGTAACATCTCAATCTCAAATCAATCTCGTTTTGCATTTCAGAGTAAAAGCCTTTTGACTTTGTTTATAGGAGCTTGTCTTTCCATAACTTCAGAATGGCATTAAATGGAAAGTTCCAGCTTCCACGAATTAATACCAGTTCATGCCAACACATATCATTGCATATAATCTAACAGTGGAGTTGGTGACCATAATTTTCGGTGACTTCAGAATGCTGTTAAATAGGAAAATCCCTGTTCCCATGGACTAATTTTTCTCTAAATCAATAATATACTCCCTCAAAGTTGTACACTGTGAAAATCAAGTCTTTCTTATTTTGGATTTAAAAATAATTGCCCTGGAAATGTTTTACAAGCTGTTTTGTAATGTCTTTATTTTCTGGGAAAACTGAGGATCAAGGATATTAAAGGGTAAAGGCACTGATATCCAATAACTAATACAATATCAGTGCCTGGAGCTCAAATGTCAGTAAAAAGGTATGACGGATGCGCAGGAATTAATAAAGATCATTACTGGGATTAAGGGGACAGGCAACCAGTCAGCAGCCTTAACATACAGTATATGAGGTGTATAAAATTCTCAAAAGGATTCAGTTTGCAGCTCTCCATTTCCTCTTCCACACCAGGCAATGGCCTCCAAACATCACTAAGCCTTTGATTATTTAATCATGTGTTGATCCTTTTCCTTGACTGTATTTTGTGGCTTTAAACCTGACAAACACCCCCAACTTGACTGTGACTTCTGGCCTGGTTATGCTATATACAACTTGAGAAACTAGACCAGGGCAAGTCAAAGGAACTTGCAAAGAAAAGCGTCTGGACTTCTTTAAGTTGCTTGAAGGCGTTTCACCTCTCTTTGCAAGCTCCTTTGACTATGATGACCTGGATGACTGAGAACCTTCACAGACAGGGCAAGGAAGGTTACAGGTTGTGGTATCAGCCAGTGTTCTCAGGACTAGCCCAGTAAAATCCACAATCTGTTTCTGAAGCCAGACAAGATACTTGTGTTATGGAACTTATTTTGTCTGGCTCCTGTATTGATGAAGTCAACACCATCACGGTTTAAGAACTATCAGCCAAATGCCATCATGCGAGATGAAAGTGCCAGGGAGCCAAATTCTCATTTATCTGAGACTGCAATTTAAAACATCTACTGACCCACACGAGGGCCAATTATCTGGTTAGACACCATGTTTTGAAGGCCTTTGGTAATTGTGTTATGTTTGAATTTTGAAGCCGAATATTACAGGTCACCATGGCATTATGATTTTAGTTTAGCTAATTGATTCGTGTGATCTAGCGTCATAGATAAATATATAGATAAAAGATATACAGCAATAGCAATGAACTGGAACAAAATCTGTAGTGTTTCCAAACAATACTGCTTCATGGAAACATGCATAAAATGAAAATGTTGAAAAGGTCCTTAAAAAGAAGTCTAATATTAATTTCTGCAACTGAAGACTTTTACAAATACTGTAGAATCAGTTAGCTTCATCCATCCATTCTCTTCCACTTATACTATCCAGGGTCGTGGGGGGTGCTGGAGCATATCCCAGGGAGACGCAGGGTACATATAGCGAGAGACAAGGTACACCCTTTACAGGTCGCCAGTCTGTTGCAGGGGTAACACACAGAGACAGACAATCATTTGCGCTAACATTCACATTCACACCTATGGGCAGTTTGGATTAATCAATTAACCTATCCCCACAAACTGCATGTCTTTGGACTGAGGAAAATGAAAACCAACGCAAACACGGGGAAAACATGCAAACTCCACACAGAAAGACCCCAGCCTGATGGTGGAATTGAACTGCTGTGAGGCAACAGTGCTAACCAAGCACACGGTAAAGTAAAATTTTTAGCTATTACATCAGCTCTAGTGCATATGATTACAAAGTTAAAATTTGAATATAGAGAAAACAGAGCTGGTTCGACAGAAACAACACAACTTTGTCAGGTTGGGGAACAGCATTTCTGGAACATTACTGAGCAGCATGGGGGCTCTAGAGGGATTGTCCTGGCTCCACTTTTTTTATATTGTATTCAGCAGACTTCAAATATATATCTTTAGTCTTGCCAAATCCAGAAATACTCAGATGACACTGCAATTATAACGTGTCTCAGGAATGGGCAGGAATCTAAAGACTGGGACCTTTTCTTGCCTTGAGCAACTGGATTCAGATAATTATCTGCAGGCTTTTCATACAAATAGCAGATGAGCTAGGAATTTTTCTCTGTGATCAGAAAAATTATTGTAATTATTGTTTTTGTACGTAAGGCATTGTCTGGCACCTCTGTTTTGTTTTTTTTATAAAAACTGTTCCCGACTCCACTCTTAGATTATATGCAGTGATAAGTGTTGGCATGAACTAGTATTAATTTGTGGTTTCTCTGTGAATTTCCCATTACGTCGTAGCGCACTCAGTGCTTGCTTGGAAGTTTAGGGGTTTTTTTCGCTGTAAAAAGAAGTTTTCTTCCCACGCACAACAGACGCTAATGTTTTTGTCACTTTTTATGGAATCAAACTCAAAAAAAGGTCAGTACTTCCACGCTTTAAACGCTCATACTCTCTCCCGCACTCGATATATTATCCATTGTTGATCTGCACACAGCTGTTGTCACGAATGTCGCACTTGCTTACGTCACTGTCATGAGACATTCTTGCAAAATAATCACGGTTTTAGTAACGCAGTAACGCAGCGTTCCTACGGGAAAGTAACGGTAATCTAATTACCGTTTTTGCAACAGTAATAATTTTACTCATTACTTGAAAAAAGTAATCGGATTACAGTAACACATTACTGCACATCTCTGGTTATCATGTGTTTGCTATGATGTGATGTGTAGTAATGGTTATTAAGGTGCTAATCGCTAATTGGGGATAAGCCAGCAAGCTCGACAATTAGCCGCCATGCTAAGCAGACGTTGGTAGCCAAGTTCATATGTCACTGTGGGGTTACGAGCTCACATGCTTGTAGTTGAGGAGCAAGCTTGGGAGCTTGCCTTAAAGCTATCGTTCGTTCTCCTGCAGACGCCTCGCTGCTTGTGTGCCTTGCTGCTGTGCCTAAAGGCCGGCGCTGCATCCATCATCATCCGGACCTCGATTATTTGGACCAAAGTACTCACACACACACCCGCACTCAGTGCCATACACTCTCTTTATTTTGCTGGCCAGCTAACACCATTGTTTTTTTTTTCATTCACAAAGACTATCCAAAGACATTTTGGTTATTGTCAAATAGACACTCTCTGATTACGGACTGAGGAGGTTGTGGTGTTACAACCCCAGGACTGAGAAAAAAAAGACTCTTTACGCCAATATATTCACTTGTATATTCACTGAGAAAAAAAAAGACTCTTTACACCAATATATTCACTTGTCTCCTGGTTAGGAGAAGTGGCTATTGATGGAAATTTTTTTTTTTCTTTTTTCTTCTTCTTGTCTTTGTTTACATTGTATCCCAGAGAAGTTTTAAGTTGTTCAGGTTGAAACATTTGCACTTAGAGTCGGTTAAGTTTCCTTTGATGTATCAGCGTCAAGCTGATGTTTAAGAGGGTAGGTTAAGGACGTATGTGCTCCAGTCCATCAATCCTTTAAAGTGCTGGACACAGATGGTAAATTGCCATCAGACCCTAAATAAATTGTCCTCTGCTGTTATCCATATTGCTTCACTCAGTCTTTGGTGAGTAGATGTATTGGTTACATAGGTCTATTAGGTTATGTTGTGGTGATCCTCGGGTTGGGGAATGGGTGTTCCTACTGGAATGCAAAATTAAAACCAAGATGGACAAAAAAAGTTCAAACAGGCTAGGACCGCCACTGTAAATGATTAATAAAATACATGCAATAAATGATTAATACACTCATGAGTCATCAGACATTATACTCGCAAATTATCTCTGATTTGATTGATTACCTTCCTCAATAAATTAGATTATACAGAACAATCTGCATTTTTCTTTTATTTTTCCTTCCTTTTTTCCAACCATGTTAGCATTCAGTCCCATTTCTATTTAAACATACAAGTAAATGCAATCATATCTGTTTTGTCGATGTCAAGCAACGTTTTAGTCTGTGCTGAACCATTTGCATTTGGCAAACAGTGTCTGTTTGCCAAATGCTGAGTTATATTCTCCACCTAGCTATGCCTTTGACTCCGGGGAAGGTAATGTGCTTCAAATTTATTTAAACATTTTAATGCTTTGTTGATGGAGAACACTTGAGTACATCCTGACCTTAAAACTGAAAGAATGTGCAAGGCAATGCTCAAACTGAAGAGAACTTGTTGGGCTACAGTTTTACAAGGGTTTGTCTCTTTGAGTGACTGATTTAAAAATGATGCTTAATATTAACAATAATTGTTTGGTGTAAAATACAGCTTTTATGCAGACGAAACTTGCTCACGGCTTCATTCACTCACCTTTTGTGAAGTTATACCGTGCTGAGAAACCAATGGCCTCGAGTTCACTATCAGCCACAAATTTGATGTACAAGTACCTCCCACTGGAGCGGACATATGACGGGCTTTCCTGCCCGCAGTAGCGACCAATTATGGGAGAGAAACCAAAGGGACCATCGCGGACTTCAATGTGGTCGAACTTACACTCCCAGGAGGGCTCGATGGAATACTTCTCATCAAAGAACAGGTCGATGCACTGCCGAGGAGAGGCTACAACAGGCCAAGAGGTTGAGAGAAGGTGAAGTTAACAGCAGGAGGAGTGGGAAGTGGTACTGTAAGGATGCTAAAAAACAAAACAAGATAAGGTCTCACCTTCTATAATATAGATGCATTCCCTCTCAGGTGGGTATTTCTCAGGGTAATTCGGTGATGTGAAATACCCTCCATCAGGCTTCTTTACCCAGGTCCCACACTCCCCAGCTGGTGTCACACCCGAGTTGTTCTTTACTAGAAGCGGGTACACAGGCAATATAAAGTACACAGTTTACCAAAAGTAGATCACATCCTTGTATCTTTAGTTTTAAAACATCCATATTTTTGTAGCACAATTTGGATTTGTCAAACTTTTCCATCTTTTGAGAAGATACTGCCAGAAACAATGGAAAAAGGTTAAAATAGAAGAGCATTACAGCATTACAGGTTAGCTAATTATTTACTATACTGTGCTACAGTACTTTTTGGCACTATATTGATATTTTATTAGTTTAATATTATCACTGCACTTTTCTCATGAGATCATTATCACAAAATCTAATCTATCCATTCGCTTCCACTTATCAGGGTCGCTGGAGCCTATCCCAGCTGTTATAGGGTGAGAGGTGGGGTACACCCTGGACAATTTGGATTTTGGTTCCGGAGGGAACCCACGCAAACACGGGGAGAACATGCAAACTCCACACAGAAAGACCCCAGCCTGATGGTGGAATTGAACTCAGGACCTTCTTGCTGTACAGCAACAGTGCTAACCACCATGCCACCGTGCTGCCACTCAATCTAATAATTTGTTTTATTATTTCTCATGATAGATTAATATTCATACATTTCACTACATTTTAGGTTAAAACCCAGAGTAGTATTCGAGTATCAGGCCACCTGCCCTCTGCAGCTACATGAATGATATGGCAAGATGTGATAGATTACCTTGAGCTTTTGTTTTAGTAGCTGTGGCACTTGACAGCTCAGGTGAGAGGAGGCTTGCTGCTAAAGCTGACAGGACACAAAAAAGAAGACGTTAAAGATGACGTTGTTCGTAGGGAGTTGCTTGTATTTACTTTGAAAAAGCAACAACAGATAACTAAACCAGCATAAACACCGGTTAGACTAGGAGACTGTAAATCGGTGGCTGCTGTTTTTACTTTCTTATAGATAAAAGCTATTTGATATATTTATTTTTTGAATCACATGCACGAACAACAAGGGTCGCTTACTTACTGAACTATGTTCAATAAGTGAACGTTTCAGGGAACTTACCGATTTGCAGCACAAGTTTGTGCAGCATGTCTGTTCCCCGAGGATGTGTAGTTCAGTTTGCTGTTGGTTAAAGAGTGTCCATCAACCCACCAATTCCTCAGAGAATTCGCCAAATCCGAGAGCTGGCTTGTCCATCTCTCCCGCCGTGCGTCCCCGTCGGCTCAAAAGATTACACTCTCGTCCGCCACCAACCTTCACAATTTTTGCTCCACCTTTAGGCTGCCTTAATCCTCTGAAAAGATACAGCCTCCAGTCATTCACAAGGCTGCGCTGTCCCGAGGCTTGGTGCCTTAATCCAGCCTCCAGTAACGCAGTCAGCGCAGTTATCAATACAGTTCACTGGAATCAATTCAAAAATATTAATAATAGTAAAAAATATTTACTATAACAAAAATGCAGTTGTACCCATTAAATGGTTTCATGTTTAATTGGATGAAATAAAATGTTCAGCACTTATCAAACAGGCAAATTTATGTCTGTTTTCATGAAATCTGAAGCAAAACCTGAAGATATATCCAGTGGCGGTCCTAGCCTGTTTGGTGCCCTGAGCGACACTCCCTCTGCCCCCCCACCCCCCCCACCCCACACACACACACACACACACACATATAAACTTTATGTGTATGTGTGTGTATAAATGTGTGTATAAATATTAAGGATTGTACATAAAACATAAAACTGTTGTCGGAACCATACTGAATTTCACCAGAGAAACATACACACACGCACACATATGAAGAGAGAGAGAGTGAGTATGCAAACAGCTAACAGACAGCCTTCATTATTTGTCATACAATCACAACAGGACAAGTCAACAATTGACAATGACTAATTAATATTAAAACATAATCTGTAACAGAATGTCGAAAAAAACATTGGTGCAAATTATGTCTGTATCATAATGTCTGGTGTTTTCGTGTTTGTTGGTTTGTTTTTATTTTGTTTTATTTTGCGAGTTGGTTATTAGATGCTGCTCCAGCCCTGCCCTCTCCTCCCTGTGCTGCAAGCACCAGGCGCACCTCGCAAACGGAGGGCGCCCTTACTCCCAGCAAATGGGCGATAGAAAAC